TTAACACACTGTGGGGACATTAACACACTGTGAGGACATTAACACACTGTGGGGACATTAACACACTGTGAGGACATTAACACACCTGTTTGTGCAGCGTTAAGGCGTCAATCTCTGACAGAACCCAACCGACGCTGCCGTCTCCTCCACACACCAAGATCCTGAATGTGTCAAACTTTTGGAACAACCGCAACCTGACAGAAAGACAGACAGAGAATTCGTCCTTTATTTGGTCAAAGCGTTTTCTAAATCCAGTTCCCACAATTATAAATAAATGACTTAATAAAAACAATATCAGTTTAAATCAGCTCTTTCCCATCAACAGAACATAGAATGTTGTTTAATTCAATTCAATTCAATTTTATTTGTTTAGCACCAAATCCTAATATCCATGATAGTGGGGAGGAGGAGAAGGAGGAGAAGGAGAGGAGAGAGGGGTGGAAAGAGGGGAGAGAAGAGAGAGAGATATAGTGAGGAGGGAGAGAGAGAGAGGTGAGAGAGACCGGGAACACTAGAGCACAATCAGGTATCAGATCTGACTGGTTAAAATGTAAACAACAGTGTAAAGAAGTTATTGATAATTATTGATAACAGTCACAATTCATATAATAATTAATTACTGAGATATTGTTGTTAATAATAATAATAGTTGTTGTCCAGAGGTTCTGGAGATATCTGCAATGAGAGAGAGAAAGAGAGAGAGAGACTATGGGAGTACAAAGTGCCATAGTCATTGACATTTATTAAAATAAATAATTTAAGCACCACACACTCCTGTGTTCTTTTGAATGGTTAATAAAACTGAAATCTATTTTCAACCTGGCCTTCAACAATCCCCAAACACTCAACACTTCCTGATAGAAACTGAGGAGATCACAGTTTGTGGTCTTTCAGGTCCATAAGGAAAAGGGCTCAGGGTGGCTGCACCTCTTCTGGCCAGGTGAACGAGTCCTCTTTGTCCTTTGCCCTTTTTTCAGCTCTCAATGTCCCTGTACAGGACTTGGATCTTGGCTATGAGGCCAAAGCTGAACCCAAAAGCATCCAAGGTCTAGCACAGATACTTGTGTTCAACCCGGTCAAAAGCCTTTTCTTCATCTATAGAAATCAGACCAAGTTTACTGGTCTAAAATGTCCAGAATTAGAAAGATATTGTCAGATATCAGCCTGCTGGGTACACAAGATCTCAAAGATTCTGCAGAGACCTGTGCATCCACCTCTGCATTGAAGTCCACAGGAACTCTGGTCAGACCCCTGCAAAACGACGTTATCTCTAGTCTTTCCCGGAACTCGTCTTTAAAAGCTCCTCATAGAAGGTGCATATGTACTACATAACATACTGCACTGCATGAGTCTTCTTTGGTCAGTTTTTCATTCGATGCCAAAGAAAAAATGCGATGGAGCATCCATTCTTGCCACATTTTGAAACGACAGTAAACCAGAGAACCTTGAGCAGAAAATCCCAGACAGAGCTGATATTTGACTTTACTGTTCTCTGAGCTAAAGCCTGCACCTCCACTATTTCTCTCTCATAGATCTGTCCATGTCTCCAGTGACACTGAGAGTGTGATTTCATTTTTCCATATATCCCACCACTGCAGCAAGGAGATGTAATCTTGTTTTGTTCTCGAGACAGCATTTTCAAACACATTGTCCGACAGTAGAGCTACATTGAAATGCGAATAGGCACTGCTGTACTTGACATGTTTAACAGAAACATAAAGCTGTATCAAAGAATGATCAGAAACTGGAACTTCAAGAGTGTTCCACTGGAACATCAAACTGATCCACGGCTCTGGATGGTTTCTGTCTAATTTTGCGTTTGCAGTTAAAATCTCCCAGAGGAACACAAACGTTCAGCACAACAGTTTTTCACCACAGTGCTCACAGTGTTTAAAAAAGCTGCCCTGTCTCACCCACAGTGAGCATTGACATTGATAAAAGTAATTTTCACATTTTCAAAAACAGAAAAGAAAGTCCCTGGAGAACAAGATACCAACACCAGCACTGCTCTTATGACTGAGAAACATGTCTCCGTCCCACTACACTCCCCCTACACTCGGTGTAGCCTCAATCTCAGCTGTGAGTCTCTCTTTCTCTGCCTGTCTCTCTCTTTGCCTGTCTCTCACCCCAGGTGTGGTCCTCCATTCATCAGATCGAACACCTGGGCTGGGTTCAGCAGCTGTTTGAAGCGTCGCAGGAACTTGACGCCCTGATTGTCTCCGCTTTTGGAGTTGACGAAGACGAGCAGCGGACTGGTGCAAGACGGAGGACAGGATGCCTTCCAGAACCCTGAGGATGCACAAGATACATGGCAGGTCAGGACAGGTCACCTGAGTGTGGATGTGTCCTCGATAAAACTGTGTTTAAAGACAGCAGCAGGGGTTAGTAGAGTCACCGTCAGAGTCGATGCTGTTGAGCGCAGTCGGAGGGATGACGGAAACTTTACACTGTCCCAGAGGACACTTAGAGGACAGCTGCTCCTTACAGCCTGAGTGCACCTGGACAGAGGGACACCCTGAGATATAGAACCAACATTTATCCAACACCCAACTGTTTGATTTGTCTCACCATGGTCTTACACCACAGACACCTCCAGTCCTGCAGGCGCAGGACACTGCCACATGTCTTATCACACACGTTACACTTCGCTGATACAGGCAGGTTCCCCTCCAACCACTGGTGAGGCATGGACACCTGAGAGGACAGAGGTCACATGACAGAGGTCACATGTAACCCAGGTTATTTGGTGGTATACACAGTTAGTAGTAATAGTAATAGTTACTTTAATGCATCACTCTTGTTGAAGGTTATGGACAGAGGATGTTGAAGGTTAGGGACAGAAGACAGAGGATGTTGAAGGTTAGGGACAGAAGACAGAGGATGTTGAAGGTTAGGGACAGAAGACAGAGGATGTTGAAGGTTAGGGACAGAGGACAGAGGATGTTGAAGGTTAGGGACAGAGGACAGAGGATGTTGAAGGTTAGGGACAGAGGACAGAGGATGTTGAAGGTTAAGGACAGAGGACAGAGGCTCTGTCCACACTTCCTCTGGATTTATACTTTATACAGGAGCTCAGGAGGAGAAACTGTGTCTCACTCTGACATTTGTGTTCACACAGTTCATGTGTTAAAGCAGCTTATGTCTCACCCCGTCCTCGTCCTCGATGATGTCTCGACCAATAGAAGCCAGCGTCGTCCATTTACAGTTGTTAGTGGCTCTGACCGCACAACGTTTGTGAGCCTTAAACTTACACACTGTAACACACAAACGCACACACAGATGAAGTTCCACCAAACCTCTGATATGATGAAAATATTGTGTGAGACGATGAGTGTTGAGCCGAATACGAGGACGAATGAGAGTCCTCTTTGGATAGCTGCGTCCACATCATCATTGTGTGTGTTTGTGTACCTTCACAGGACAGGCCGTGTGATGTCACTCCTGACAAAGCCTCTCTACAGACGTTACAGTACGTTGGTCTGGCGTGAGAACAGGCGTACCAGTTGTGCATCCCACTGAAGTGATCCATGCTGTACTGAGTGGACTGACACACACACACACACACACACATTCAGTTGATGGTTGTGGGACTAGTCGTCATGGTAACACAACAGACAGACACACACAGACCTCATAGTTCTGTCTGTTCTGGACGCTGCGCAGAGCTGCCATCCACTCCTCCATCTCCTTCCTGTTGTCTGCACACAGAATGAGACGTCTGCAGGGGGTGATGACCTAAACACACACACACACACACACAGATATACACAACACAGAGAAATACACACGGACACACACACACACAAGTAGAGAGACACACGTTGTCACAGTATTTCAAGCGAAGAGCTGATCCTTCTGATAATATAATGTGAATGTGTGTGTCTGTGTTTTCCAAAGAAAGAGATGTGGACTTCGACTTCCTGCTCAGCTGCTTCACAATGAATCTTGTGTTTCCCACAGAAAGGACACACACACACACACACACACACGTGCAGCTATCTTTATTAGGACTTTGCATTGACTTCTATTCATTTTGGAAAGACCAACCTTAACCAAACCTAAACCAAATTTAACTAACGTTAACAAACCTAAACCAACCTCAACATTAACTAACCTTAACTGATGTTAACCAACATTAACCGAACTTAAGTAATCTAAACCAACCAAACTAACCTTAACTAACCTCGACCGATTAACAGGAAGGTAACTCTAACAAAATGCCGGGGGTCCTGACGTCACCAACATAGACAACCTTTGACCTCCTGATCAGCTCACTCACCGTATATGAAAACAGTTTAAACTGGGTCCTGGTCATGAGTCGTCATGGAAACAGTCCACTTTAAAATCTGGTCCATTTCACAGAGTCCTGATCCTGATCCTGATCTCTGTCTCTCTCTGTCTCTCTCTGTCTCTCTGTCTCTCTCTGTCTCTCTTCGGTAGCCACTCCCATATCCTCTTGTGTGATTCAAGCTACTTCCTGTCTGTCGTCATAACAACTCCCCCAACCCCACCAGCCCCACTGATGAAGAGGGGGAGGGGGATCTGAGTACTGAAAGAGATGAGACACACACACACTCTATTTGTTGTAAAGTCATGTGATCTCCGCAGCAGAATGGATACGTTAGATCCTCTGTCTGCTGAACCCTGCGGAGGAGAATCTCCTGCTGGGAGGTTTTAACGCTTGAGCTCAACTCACAGTGAAACTGTTGTTGACGTTCTTGGTGCTGGACTCAGCGACGCTGGCGTCCGTCAGGTCCACTTCATCGAAGATGATCGACTACGGAGACAAGAAACAATAGGAAACCACATCATGTCATTGGAAACATTAAAGCTACACTAATTAACCTTTAGTAACCTTCTATAGATTAAAATCTGTAATCTGCACACAAATATTTATAAATTACCAGTTAATAAC